TTTGTACGGGTTGAAACAGTCTCCGAGACAATGGTACAAATGGTTTGACTCCTATATGATCAAGATTGGCTACAAGTGATGTGAGTATGATTGTTGTGTCTATGTTAAGAGCGTTGATGATGGTTCTTTTATTTTTCTGTTACTGTATGTTGATGATATGTTAATTGCTGCGAAGAACATGGATGATGTTATCGGTTTGAAAACCTTATTAAGTCAGGAATTTGATATGAAAGATTTAGGTGCTGCAAAGAAAATTATTGGAATGGAAATTTACAGGGACAGAGACTCAAGGAAACTGTGGTTATCTCAACGGGGTTATATTGAGAAAATGCTAAAAAGGTTTGCAATGAGCAGCACAAAACCAGTGAGCACTCCATTGGTGAATCATTTTAAGCTCTCACCAGAACAGTGCCCTAAGACATATAAGGAAACTGAAGATATGGCAAAAGTTTCATATTCTAATGATGTTGGTTGTTTGATGTATGCAATGGTATATACTTGTCCTGATTTAGCTCATGTTGTTAGTCAAGTTTGTAAGTACATGTCTAAACCTGGTAAGCAACATTGGGAAGCAATCAAGTGGATCTTTACGTACTTAAAGGGTACTGTGGGACATGGAATTGTTTTTGGTAGTCGGCAGGATAATCCTTTGGTTGTAGGATATGCGGATTCAGACTATGCGGGTGACTTGGATAATAGAAGATCTACGATAGGGTATGTCTTTACTCTTGGTAGAGGGCCTATTTGTTGGAAGTCTATTGTTCAATATGTTGTGGCATTATCTACAACTGAAGTTGAATACATGGCAGCGGTTGAAGCTGCAAAAGAAGCTTTATGGCTTACTGGTTTAGTGAAGGAGTTAGGTGTTTAGCAAGGTGGAGTTCAGTTGCTTTGTGAAAATCAAAGTACTATTCACTTGGCTAAGAATCATGTATATCGTGCTAGAACTAAGCATATTGATGTAAGGTTTTACAAGATCAGAGAGTTGGTTGCATCTGGAGAGATTTTGTTTCAAAAGGTACATACTGATGAGAATGCCGCTGATATGTTCACCAAGGCAGTTACGACAGACAAATTCATGCATTGCTTGGACTTTTTGAGTGTTTCGAGTTGTTAAAGAAGTAAGGTAACCCAACCCACATTGAATGTTTCCTAAAGGGTAGGATATTTGCCATGGTGGAGATTTGTTAGGTATGACTCATAAATATACTTGTAAAGCTCGTAGTGGGGGTTATGATTATGTGGGTTGGGGGTGCAGAGGCACAGCTCCCGCGGTACGGTACAGGGTTATTTTTGTAAATATGTACAAGGTTTTATTTATTATAAAAGGAGATGTAACCTAAACCTATGAGACATTGAATAGAATAAAAATTCTAGCGTCGCCTAGGGCACCGAGGACATAAGCACATTGCTGAACCTCGTTAAAATTCTTGTGTTCTTTCCATTTTCTTTACCCGATTATTCAACACCCCCTTTCTTTATTTGCTTTTTGATTCTTCAGAAGTTCCTAACACATTTCATTGATAATGAATATACAGCTACTCTATTTCAAATAATCAAAATAAATGTTGTAAAAAGGGAAAACCCTATATTTGTTTGCTCAAAAAATGTTAGTCTTTAATGCTTCATTTGTCTAAAAATGATATTATTTGCTTTTAAATTTCTGAGGACAAAAAAAAGGCTTAACACACTTTTTAGTATCTAAACTATACCTCAATATAAGATTTGATGTCTAAAGAATTTTTAAAAATAGGTACCTAACGTTTTCTCCGTTATACTTTTAGACATCTATCGTTATATTTTTTAATTTTACTAATAATATTATTATTTTTTACGCGTCGTCCCTCTCCCATCCATCTCTCACCTCCGATGACAAAGAGTCACCCTTGGTTGAGTTTTGTTCGGAACATGACAAGGAACTTAACGGTGGCGGCCGTGTAAGGTTAGACACATTTTTCTAGCGAAAAATTCTTTAGTCACCAAATTATATTTTGAGATATAATTTAGGCACTAAAACGTGTATTAAGCCAACAAAAAATAAAGAATTAAAACCCTAAGCTTCAAAATCAACCATTAAAAAGAGGGAGATAAAAATGGAGTTACCGCCAACGCTGTTATGATTGGAGCAGCCGGCACGGCACGAGCGAGAATGGGAAGAGGGTCGGGAAGGGCACCGGAGAAAGGCATAATCGGCATACAAATGCCGACAGTGGAAGTGGTTCCACCGTCCAATCCTAAAATAACCGGGTGGTTGGTGGCCACCGCCACCTCGTGCTCGAAATCCCAGATTTCACCATTCCTGTATCGCTTCATTTCTGAAATTGATGATTTCACCATTTATTATTGCAGAAATATTTATATCAGATATGTCTATATGGAATCGTACTATAATAATAATGGGTCAATATCCGATATAATAAATGATTCGGACGGCCAATGCGCCAAGCGCTGCAATGTGCGATGCTTGGATTCCATTTTCACGTTTGCTTTGGTTTCGTCTGTCTAGGTCAAGTAACATCATCATACAACCTCAGCTCGTGATTTTGATCGATCCTCAGCTCCTTTTTGTGAATAAACAGAAAGACCAATAGGATAGAGCAATCATTACATATGCCACTCAATTTTCCTCTCGGTACACAAGTAGAATCCTCGCGACCCATTGCTCCGGATCGAGCTCACAATGGCAGAATGTTGCCCAACAATTGCATGTCAAGTTCAAGAACCACCTTCCTCGTCCCTAAACACCAAGCTTGATATAACCAATCATATACTCCCCAAAGCTCTACGTCAAGGACAGTACAACAACCAATATTCCTAGCAAAGCGCATCTTAATTCCAAACTTATTCCGAGGATCAAGGATATTACACTACGGTGGGTGTGAAAGCATCTCCATGCATACCATGCACAATAAATAGAACTGTATCATCTTTGTCGTGGTAAAGTTAGAGCAAATGCATCTCAATAACAAAGCAGAGGCATTTCGACCCCTCAAGCAGATTTGTGTCTGTAAGTTAAGGCAACTCAACACCTTTCGAAAGCATCTCACGATTCTGAAGGTACAGAGGCGGCTTAACATTTTATGGTTAGTGGGTAGAGGCTTCTCTGCATTCGAAGGCATCACGTCTCTTCAATGAGTTAAGGTATCTCAACACTCACAAAGAAGGAAGATTAACGCTTTTTACTGTAGAGTAGGGGCATCCCCACTATCGCATCACAGTGGAGGAATCTTCGTTGCAGCAACATAACAGAGTATAGTAGGAGAATAATTGGAGACTCAACACTATAGTGGAGGGATTAAAATCTTAATACTTATATGTATTAGTTGTTTAAACGTTACATGTTATTCTTAGAGGATGTTTTCCTAAGTACCTGAGCTAAAGGAAGTTTGGCAATTTCTCGTGAGGGGTATTCCTACCAGAAACAAGTTAGTCTATAATTGTCGTTAGTTGTTTTTGATGTGAAGCTTTTCGATACCCGTGAGGTGTTTTTGAGGATCGTCTTAACGGCTACGTGTACTTTTTCATACTGCCCTTGTAGATGTTGTCGTCCGAGGTGTGATTTCTCGTAGTTCTATAGATACTCCGTCGTGCATAGCCTTCCATCCTTGCCACGATTGTGGTGTCCCTAACGTCAATGAAAGCGATTTCCAATACCTCTTAAACAAGCTCAGTAGGCTCTGAGGTCAGTGGCCTTGAACCAGCTCTCCAACGCTCGTAAAGGGGATGATTTACTTAGGTCAATCGTGTGTGGTTATTCTATTTTCTCTTCGCATGTGTATGCAAGTTCCGCATACCGAATCTACGGTTGTTTTTTTGGAATAACCGGAAAGGTAGATGGAGGTTTTAGGAAGAGAAAAGGATGTAAGAATAACTATTTTGATTTTTGAGATAGATCTGGACTGATTCTCTCGGTTGTAAGGTCTACCCACGCTCATTGCATCAATTATTGATGGGAACAAGTTTGTCTCATCGACCTAGGTGGTTCACCCCTTCTGATTTGAGTGGAGAACCGCGACCACTGAAAGAACAATCATTGACTTATGTTTCTTTGTGAGAGAGAGTTGATCATAATGGGGGTGTATGGATGAAGGAGAAGGAAGTGACCAGATCCTCTTCTTAATTGTAGTTATTGAATATTTATAGTACTTCTAATTGGTGGTGTTAGACATAAGATCATTATAACTATTTATAGGTCAATAGACTAAGTAGTAATGCTCGTCAGATCTTGGATTTTTCTCTCATAGATCAAGTGGACATGTCAGAAATTTTATCTATGTCATGTAGTTTATTTGGAGATCAGGATACTCCAACACCTAAAGGTTATGGATCCCTTGAAAACTTCGATAAATGGAATATCATGTGAAAAGATCTTAATAGACGAAGAGTTAATAATTTCCAAAAGTTATTCTCCAAAAGTTATTCTCCAAAAGTATAATAGACACCTTTTAAGATGATGCAATTAATTTTTCACATCATAAAAAAACTCTAAATATTAACAAATGTATCCTTATTAAAATGTTATTATCATGTTATTTTATAATATTCCAAACTTTTTGATATCGTGGAAGAAACATAGGAGTACAAAATAGTTAATGCCAACATTTCAATAAGAAAAAAAATAATATTATTGTTATGAAAAGTTTGAGTAAATTTAAGCTAAGATAGAAGATTAAGGGCCAAAATGAATGTAATTAAAATTTGAAGGCTAAACGACTAGATTGAAGAAGTTAGAACCTACAAAAAATTCATTCTACCTATTCATATTGATATTAAATTTTCATATTATTGTTTTTCCCTGGCCATGGATATTGCATTCCTATTGCCATTCAGAACGAATCCGACGTGGACATAGGAAGGAGTAATAAAATCCACGTGGCACGAATAAGAACCTCAACATCCTTATCCCAACATCCGATATCTAATCCAATATCCAAACACAAAGCCAATTTCCTTCACATATCAAAAACATCACAATCCTCCACATTCATTATCTTTTCCAATTGATTGAACAAGGTAAAACAGCATTAGCTTTTAGCGCTAGCATTACCATGGCCTCCGCCGCAAGCTTCTTGCACCACCATGCACTCACTACCACCGCCGGCAGATCATCCTCATTATCACCTTCGCTCCGCCTAGTTCCGAAGCCTAACAACCAGCTAGTGTGCAGGGCTCAGAAACAGGCCGCCGGACAAGACGATGATGAAAGCCATGTCTCCCGTAGGTTGGCTCTCACCGTCCTCATCGGTGCCGCCGCTGTCGCCTCTAAGGTTTCTCCTGCTGATGCTGCCTATGGTGAAGCTGGTAACCCACTTTCTCTTTCTCGTAGTTACTGATATTCGATATCAAGAACCAATGGGAAAATGAAAATGAGTTAAAATATGCAGCAAATGTGTTCGGGAAGCCAAAAACAAATACGGATTTCACGGCGTACAATGGGGATGGATTCAAGCTGTCGATACCATCGAAATGGAACCCGAGCAAAGAGGTGGAGTACCCAGGGCAAGTGCTGAGATACGAGGACAACTTCGACACGACCAGCAATTTGACAGTCATGGTCACTCCCACCGACAAGAAGTCCATCACCGACTACGGTTCCCCTGAGGATTTCCTCGGCACGGTAACACTCCAAATCCCACACCGCTTCAGTAGTTAAATATTTCAAGATATTTATGAACTAAATCTTTTGAGCTCTGCAGGTGGACTATCTGCTTGGAAAGCAAGCATACTTCGGTAAAACCGATGCTGAGGTGATTAAACATCATAGACTTCATTTTTTATCTCTCATTTCCTTTTTTTCCACATTTATAAGCAAATGTTTAGAAATATAGTTTGAATATATGCATGTAGGGTGGTTTTGACTCCGGTGCGGTGGCGACTGCAAACGTATTGGAGAGCTCAACCTCGACAGTGGGTGGGAAGCCATATTACTTCTTGTCGGTGTTGACAAGAACCGCCGACGGAGACGAAGGTGGGAAGCACCAATTGATAACGGCCACCGTCAACAACGGTAAGCTTTACATCTGCAAGGCACAAGCCGGAGACAAAAGGTGGTTTAAGGGAGCTAGAAAGTTCGTCGAGAGCGCTGCCACTTCCTTCAGCGTTGCTTAAAACCAAGTTTTCTAAAATAAAAAAAAATGGAGAGAGGTTTTTATGTAAATCTTCTTAATTTATTACAAGTTATGATTTTGTGGGATATTGAACTAATTTGTCTGCTATAATATCCACTCCCCAAAGCTTCTCTATATTTAATTTTAGGAAATTCTAAAATGATCATCGTATATAGATAAACATCATTAATTTCATAAGATGAAATTTTAAATAGTTTTAAATTATAGGATAAAGTATACAAATGATGTATTACTATATAGCGTTATTTATTAAATATTTTGATTATTATAAATTACAAAATAATTTTTCGACTATAAAATATTGTTTTGTTAGTTTTTTACTATTAAAAAAATATAAAATGATTATATGATCATTCATATGTTTTAAATTTGTTATTTTTCGTTAAAAATTTGTCTGTCGTCTGAACTTAGATGTTAACCTACTAATCGAAATACGATAAAATCATATGTTTTAAAAATGAATTTTAAAAAAGAATTTATTAATTTTTATTTTGTTATTTAAAACAAGCATTATATTTAATAATTATGCTTATATTTTTAAAATTAAAAAAATTATAATATTCGAGATACAACAAAAACTTAATTATTAAATAATTAAATTATTTTTTATTTAATGATGTGATTCAAGCATTTAACTTTTTTTTATTGCATGGGAAGGTTACTCTTTAGATTCAACAGTTTTCACTTCTCCAGGGGGTTCCAGTAGTCAAAGCATTTAACTTTTGATTAAAAAGTTTAAACACAATTTAAAAATAACATATCCAAAAAAATATATTATCACATTAATAAAAAAATACGACCAAATTTAAATAAAATAATCAAAACAATCCTTAAGTTTTAATAATGTATCAAGTAATTTATATTGTATAAATTCAATATTTATGATATGAAATTAGAAATTAATATTTAATTTATTTATATTTATCTTATTTTCAATTCAACGAGCCTAATAAAAATAATTTTAATTAAAATTAACAATAAAATGAAATTTTAGTCACAATTAAAGGTCAAATGAGATATTTTCGAGTAATTTAGCATGACACATCACCTTTTTAATGGTAGATAATGTCATTGTTCCGATTTTATAACAAAATCTAAAATTTAATATCTATTATATAATTTTTTGAAAGTTTGATTTTTTAAAAATTAATTTAGTATCCATTTATAAATTTTATCCTATATATTACAGATCAGATTTAAACTGAAGTTTAGGGACATAATTTAAAATGTGGTTTGAGCCTATACCATGATTTTGGGCCAAAAATACTGAGTATTTTTGTCCAAGTAGTCATGCCGACGGCTATTTGTTAAAATATTTCAACTGTTAAAGCATTTAATTTTCTCTTGCATCAAGTGTGTTATTTATTTTTCATTTTTTAAGATAATACTTCACAGGGTTAGTTTAAGTTATAAATAGTTTAATATCGTTTAAGCAATGTTTTTGAGTTTGAGTCCATGCATATGCAAAAAATCTTTGCCGGGAGACTTACTCACCAAAGTCAGGTATATGACATGGATCAGACCGGATTAATCAAGACAAAACCTTGAAACCGAGAGAGCAACCAAAAAGAAAAAAAAGCAAGCCTTTAGTTTTTTAACAGAGTAGAGGACCATGTAATGGTCTTTTTAACATGGTGCATCTTGCATTTTCGTTTTAAGAGTTATTAATTTCAACATGATTACTATCGATCATGACACTTTATTGCAGCCTTTCATATCATGGAATGGCTCGTATTTATCAATACGAGTCGAGTGTCATACATCATTTACATCTAAATGTTGTGAGTCATCTCACTTAGGGGTAGTTCCGTTAAGCATTTAGTAATTTCTCATTTTGAGACATTTCTGCAATCTTTTTAACACCAATATAATGATGAGAAAATCCTGCATGGACAAAGGCAACATGTTATGAGGGGTTTTGATAATTCATCTTTTCTGATTTAGGTTGAAAATCACAAATTCATCTGATTGGCTGACATTCTAATAAATACATATCTCGTACACAAAGGGATTATGGTGGTCACCCTTTTTAATTTGGTCTAAGAGCCATATAAATTAAATTACCTCCATCTTGTGGGTCAATGGCTTCAACCAGGGAGCTTCTATCATTGTATGTGCATAGGCATCTCATTTAAAGGCGTACACGAGTGTCCTTGGCACCAATCAATGGTAGGGGATCCGTAGGTATCTCCGTGATGTAGGTCTTTGAGTGAAGAGATCTATGACACTAGGATAAACGATTCTTATCTAGAGGGATTACACATTTCACCATGTCTGATTTGGACGTAGAGATATCAATTCCAAAGTCACAACTTTTAATGTTTCAAGTTTGATTCAATTTATCTCTAGAGGGATCTAAGATATTATCTCTGGTGGTTCATCTTAACACTTACACGTTTAACATAACATTTGTATCATTTAAGTTTTTAATATGAGAGATGACTATCCAACTCAGTTGGTAAAGCACAAGGTTCTTAACCTTGAGGTCGTGGGATCGAGTCTCATGGAGGGCATTTCATAATTCGGAGGTCTTCCACGAAAGTTGCTCTCAACCTGGTGTTAGGGACAACCTACTATCTTACCTCCCCTTACCCCATTACATATGAGAACAAGGGACATCCATTTATTTAAGTTTTTAATATGATTATAATTGTCTTGTTTATGCATGCCAGGCTTTTAGCAATTAAACTACGGTTCTAGTAGTGCTTTGGTTAAAGTCGTGTAATCTATCTAACTATTTTGCGTAAATTACAAATTTCATCACTAAATTTTACTCTTTCTTCTATTTTGTTTATTGAACTTTAAAAATTTTCAATTTCTTCACTAAACTTAATCCATTGGGTTTTTTTGGTCACTAAACTTTACTCTCTCTCTTAATTTGGTTACTCCGCCGTTAAATAGTTAACGTCATTAAAAACGACACCGTTTTCAAAAAAACAAAATTTTCATAAAAACGATGTCGTTTTGCATCCATACAACAACTCATTTTAACGCCGTTAACTATTTAACGGCTGAGTGACCATAAAAAACACAATGTATTAAGTTCAGTGAGGAAATTGAAAAGATTTAAAGTACAGTGAGTGAAATAGAAGAGAGAATAAAGTTCAGTTACCAAATTTGTAATTTACCCAACTAATTTTACATGATTGGGGGATCTCAACCTACGATCAAGAAGTCTACTCTAACCTTTAATAAAGCGTACATACTACTATACTATGTCAGTTACATACATTCACGACATATTCATACTAATCATGGTTACAATTCTACTCTCTCTGAAGCTTTCTATAAGGACTTATTGATGTATGATTGAGTTTGCATTTTTTTCCTCTCATTTTTTGGATTTATTGTTGGGGTTGCATGGGTTCATACATGTTCTCCGTTAGGCTGTTATCCTCCTCAAACACTGCTTCCTACTTATCTCTTACCATATCTTTACATGTTTCGATGCTTGTACGTCAGTTTTGCAAGTTTTCTTCCACGTCTCTCGTTGATTCTTGCTTGACTTGGGTAACATATTCCTTCCGTTTCTCCGTCTAGCACTCCACCAGACTTGAGGATAAGTCCTATTCCCTTTTACTTAATTTTCAACTTGGAGTTCGGGGTCAGGTTTGCATGCTTGAGGTTTTTTTGCATCGTGGTTGATTCTTGAGATTATAAGTTGGTCCACGTTCACCATATCAATATTGATGTACACCAAGTAGGATGGTGATTCTCGACGGAAAAATAAAGAGTTTTTGTCGAAAATTAATGGCTCACTCTTTCTGGAGAATCACGGTCAACTAAGATTCATATATAGGATGAAGTGTAATGTCTGAAAAATTACACTCGATATATGAGTTCATCGAGCTACATGATTTTTAGTTATTAGACTGTAGAAAAATCCAGGTAATTTTAAAATAGGATCTCCATATAGTCACGAGTATAACAAACACAGCATTCCACTTTTATATTATACAACAAGAACAATAAAACAATTTAATTAAAGTTTTACGTGGACTAAATAAATGAAAAAAATCGTTAGAATGAAATTTCAATTAACATTAGATTTGATAACGAGTTTAATATTGGTAAACTTCTCTTTTAAAAAAGATAGCAAATATTTTCATATTATCATAAATATATTTAGATATTTCATTAGTAAACTAATAGTTCGAGCGGACTAAAACCGCTCTTAGATAATATTAGGGTATATTGCATGTTTAGCATCTAAAGCATCACTTTTATTTTATTTATTTTCAAATTTTAAAACTATACATAATGTTTACTTTTTGTTTTATTTTAATATCAATCGTTAAAAACTTAATGAACTGTTGTACGCAATATTTTTACGGGTAAATTATATAATTCATCGCACAACTATCTTATCACTTCTATTATTGTCATTAAATTATATATTTTTAAATTTAATCACTTAATTTTACTCATATTTTAATCACTCTAACTCATTTTATTTATTATTAATAAAAAAGCTTATTTTAATAATATATGAAAGATTTGTGATTTAGGGTTTATAGTATAATTTTTGAGTTTGGGTATAATTTTAAAATTATTTTTTATTTTAATTATATATTATTAAGATAATAATAAAAAATATCATGTCACAAAAAATATTAATAAAATAAATTAGAGTGATTAAAACAAGAACAATTTGAAAGTTGAGTTATTAAATTGAAAATTTTAAACTTTAATGATCAAAATAGGAGTGAGAAGATAGTTGAGTGATGTAATTTACCCATAACAATAGCTTCGTTAAGTTTTTAACGGCATGGTACCAAAATGAAACCTAAACTAAACGTTATGTATTGTTTTGAAATAAAATAAAGTTTAGGTACTAAAACGGAATAAAAGTAATAGTATAACTATTAAATGTGTAGTTTATCCATAATCTTATTTAAGCACGTCTTTTGAACTGCAGGAGTGAAACCTAAACCCAAAACAAACAAAATAAAAGAGGCGCCTACACCTCTTTTGCTCTCTTTCTTGCTTTTTCTGAATTTTCATTGTTTTTTCTTCCTATTTTTACTCTGCATTTTGTTAGAGAAAAAAGAAAAAAGAAGGGAAAAACCCAAAGAATGGGAAAGAATAAGAATCCCCTAGA